CCTACCTCCCACCCCCAGGCCTCTTCCCTCATTGCTGTCTGGCCTGAAGAGCTCAGGCTCTGTCTGGGGGGTGTGTCCTGGTTCCCCTGGGGCTCAGGGTGGAGTGAGGGCATTACCATCACCTCTGGCGACCTCATTGACAGCTGGTATTATGACATCGCTGGCCCAGCATTCCGGGTTCCTGCCTGGGCATCTCCAAGCCCCCCAGGTGAAGACACTCCCCTGGGGTCTGTGACAACTCGCCCCCCATCCACATAAAGGTGACAGGCACGGTAACAACCCGGTGGGGGGGGCAGTCTTGGGACAGATGGGTCACCGTGTCCTGGGCCACTTTGTCAGTTGCATAGGTAGAGCAAAGGTGGTCACACAGCAGAGTGACTCATACTTGGGCTCTGGGTTCAAATTCTAACCAGTCATTTGACCTTGGCCTGACAGTTTGATCTTGTTTGAGCCTCAATTTCCTCGCCTGTGAAACTGCTTAATAGTTCTCTTTTTTTCTTTCTTTTTAATATGTTTATTTATTTATTTGTTTGACAGAGCGAGAGAGCAGAAGTAGGCAGAGCAGCAGGCAGAGGGAGAAGGAGAAGCAGGCTCCCTGCTGAGCAGGGAGCCCAATTCGGGGCTCAATCCCAGGACCCTGGGATCATGACCTGAGCTGAAGGCAGAGGCTTAACCCACTGAGCCACCCAGGCGCCCCTGCTTAATAGTTTCTATTTCCCAGGTTTCCATGTAAAGCTTAGGAGCACAGGGCAGGAGGATACAGTCAGTGCTCACTAAATGCTTACTGATAGGTTTACTTAGTTAATGGGACTCTGAGGTCACTTGGTGCTGGGAGCTGGTTGGAGAGGGGTGACTCTGTGTCTTCTGCGGCTGGCTTGAACCTGGGAGGCAGGGGGATGGTCCCAGTGTCAGGAGGGTGGCTCCAACTTTGCCTGCCTGTCTTCCCATCTTAGCCAGGGAGCTAGCGCCCATAGGAGGTTGGGGCCCGAGACCAGGCCCTGAGGCCAAGAACCCATTGACCCTCAGCCTCCTCCCTATCAGTCTCTGCTTTGCAGCCTTGGGCCAGAGTGGGCTGGGGTCCACCAGGCCCCTGCCTTCCTCTCAGAGCCACGGGCATGTCCAACCGCTTTCTCTTGGTCCCCAGGCCCCTGAGTCTAGGATTCTCCTCGGCGCTATTTCCATGTCTGTCAGACCCTCAAGTCTCCAAGCTGGGCTAGGAGCCTTGGATCTCTCTGAGCCCAGTCCCTCTGTTTTCTGCTTCCGTGAGGCTCTGTTCTCTAACCTTGACCCTTTGCCCTGTCCAAGTCCCTCTTTCTCTGACCCGCCCCTCAAGTTCTCTGTCTCATGATCCTCTATCTGCACCACCTGTCTCTGTTCTTCTGCCGCCGTGTCCCCCTCTGCCCCCCCGCCCTCAGGACTGGTTCCCCCTTCACCCCCCTCCCTCTGCTCTGTCCCCGCCCGTCAGCCCCTGGTCCCAGCTCCCGGCCGGCCCGGCTCCTGCATGGACAAAGGGGTCCTTTGTGGGCTGACCGCGGCTGGCAGGGCGGCGGGGCGCTGGCTCCGCATTGCTGATGAAACGGAGCCCTTTGTTGTCCCTCCTCAGGCGCAGTATTTCTTTTTGGGGGCTGGATGCGTTCCTGGCAGGGCCGATGATGGATGCGCCCGCCGCCGCCCGCCTGCCCGCCAGCTTTCCCTCCCGCTCATTCCCGCTCCGCTTCAACGCAACCCCAGCTCCTCCCCTGCTGCCTGGGCACTGCCAGGCCCTTCCTGGTCTGGGAGGGGGCTGCTGTGTGCCTTGCAGTAGGGGGCTGGCGCCTGGGAGAAAGAAGGTCTTACGTCCTTCCCTACCTTGAGTAGGGCAAACAAACCCTGTGATCAGTGGTCCACTGGGACCAGATCATCAGCTTTTCCCAGGGTCTAAAGGAGAAAGATGAGCCAGATATAGGGGCAAATTTAGAACAAGCTTAGAGACCGGGCCTTGGGACTAAATAGATGTTGGTATCTGCCCCACTCTGGGGTTTGAGGACAGAAGTTCACCTGGGTGCCAGTCCCCCTTGTTTACTCCCCACCTTCTGCAGCTGGGAAACCAGCGTCTGCCTGCAACACCTGTTTGATGACATATCATGTCCTCTGCTCCATAGCTCAGTAGGTCCCAGGACCCTGAGGGGCTGGGAGAGGGAAGTTCCTGAGGAAGGACAGAAAAAGAAAAAGAAAAGAAAAATGATCGGAGAGATTCAGAGAAGGGCCAGAGCTAAACAGAATATGAGGTTTGGTCCCTACTACAAGACTCAGGATGGAGACAAAAGCAGATAGACTGAGCCAGAGCTCCGGCCCTGAACGCAGTCCCCGTCTTGGAGGGAGCTGACTTCTAATTGACCTGCCCGCCCTGCACACCGAGCCAGATCCCGGAGCCGGGAGGGGGGAGGGAGGAGAGCAAGAGCAGCGTTAATGCAGCTATCGATTTCTGCCACCAGCCAGCAGGCCGCAGAGGCGGGGACACAGAGGGGGGCTAGGGCGCAAGCTGCTCCCCTCCCTGCCTCTCTCCCACCTCTCCAACCCAAGGGCTCCTGCCTCCTCCTCCTGTCTTTGCTCACCGGGTCTGGGCCTGCGGGCACCCTGTGCTCCAGGACAGAGTATTTGAGCTCAGATGGGGTGACGGTTGTTGGCCCTAGTCTCCGACACCTAGCCAGGATCACTGCTGTCTAGAAGGGTGCTGATTTCTGAAGGAGGGTCTCAAGAGCCACCCTGGGCTTAGGCATTAGCAGGTGAGATGGAGCATAGCTATCTTACGTGAGCCTCTTCCTCTTAGTACAACACTGACCTCTGTGATACCCCCAGCCCAGCCTGACACCCTGCCAGGCCCTCCTGGGTTTGTCCTGGGAATATGCCAGCTGGTCCACCCTTCCTTACCACCCATCTACCTTCACTAGGAAGGGGTGTACATGGGGCCATTGCCCTCTAGGGAAAGGCAGGGAGCATCTGACTCTCTGCTGAAGCCTGCCATCTTTGCTTCACTCAGATGGAGCTTTTCCTTCTCCTACACTTGCTTCTCCTTGTGGCCACTCCTTAGCAATCCCAGAGCAGGGGGCCCTGACAGCTCAGGGCCTCAGTTTCCTCCTCTGGAAGTGCAGAAGGTTGGACTACATGACCTCCCAGGGACCAGGCCCTGGCTGAGTCCTGTGACTTGGGGGATGGTGGGGTTGCCTGGGGACAAAGATGTATGTGTGCCGCCCCCAAGGCTAGGGCGGGACAGGCCCAGCCAGATGTGCGCCTCCCCCCTTGAGCCACCAGCTGCTCAGTCTGGGCCCTCTTCTCCGGTCTTCTCCCCCTCCCCCCCAGGGTTGCTGGGCCACAGCAGGCAGGCAGGCAGGGAAGGGACCTTAGAGAGCCAGGACTGATGAGGAATCTGCCACTCCACTCCTTCTGGACAGTTCCTTCCAGAGTTCCTGGCCAAGGAGCCTGGCCAAGGAGCCCTTAATCCTGGGGCTTGAGCAGAGCATGCTTGTCCTAGGAAGGGGCACCTCAGAAATGTGGTTGTGGCCAAAGAATAGACTCTGTTCCCTGGAGGGTAACACCCACTCTCATTCCCAGCCTGCACCAGCCAGAGGCCCCTCCTGCCCACAGCCTGCCCCTGGGCTCTCACTGGGACCTCATCCCAGACCCATCTGGGAGCCAGGCTGAAGCACAGCGGGGAAGCCTAAGTAGAGACAAGAGTGGGGTCTGAGGTAGTGATGACTGTTTTTGAGAGTGAGAAGGAAGCGTGTGTCAATATGTGCACAGCATGTCCCCCTACTCTTATAGGAGATGGCTTATCCTGTGGCACAGTGCTGCCTGCCCTCTAGCAGGAGGATACATGCTCCTTGAAATAAGGATTCTGTGCTCTATTTGGCAACCTCTTAAAGTCAGTTTCCTTTCCTTGCAGGACTTGTCAGAGCCTTCAGACAATCCATATGTATTTAGGAATTGACAAATGAGAGCCTGAGAGCAGCTTCCCAGACTACTTTTTTTTTTAAGATTTATTTATTTACTTTAGAGAGTGAGCACGCATAGTAGGAGCACAAGCAGGTGGAGGGGCAGAGGGAGAGACTCTAAAGCAGCCTCTCTGCTGAGCGCAGAGCCCGGCAGGGCTGTATCCCAGGATCCTGAGAGCATGACCTAAGCCGAAATCAAGAGTCAGACCCCCCCCCCCCGCCCCCAACTGAGCCACCCAGGCATCGATTTCTGGTCTACACCTTCAAACTTTGCAGAGGTTATTCCAAATCCTTTTGTAGATGAGTCAGAGAAGGAAGATTAGGAAGCAGAAGGTGACTTTATAACCTTCTGAGGTTAACAGACATTTCCAGTTCTTTTCTACCCCCCTAGCCCAGGAAGAACTGGCCAGAGATCTGAGCTGTACAGATCCGAGCTGAGCCTCTGCCATGACACTTGGTAACTGTATATTCATGGCCACTTCTAACCCTTGTGTAAAATAGCTACTACTACGAAATGTGCTTGTGAGTCTTAACTGAAATAGTACAGAGAGGGGCGTCTGGGTGGCTCAGTCAGTTAAGCGTTTGACTGGAGTTTAGCTCAGGTCATGATCTCAGGGTTGTGGGATCGAGCCCCACATGTGGCCCCGTGCTCAGCTCGTCCTTCTCCCTGTGCTCCTCTCTCTGCTCATGCTCGCTCGCTTTCTCTCTGTCTCCTTCTGTCTCTCTAAATGAAATCTTGGGGGGGGGGAAACAATACATGTAAAAAGTACCTAACCATGTTGGGTCCAGCACGTGATAAATGCCCAGCAGGGCTTGCGTCTGTTAAAATGGCAATACCGTGGCTAGTCCTGGTGGGGATGTGGGGGAAGGAGATGCTTACCTCCGCCCTGACCCTGTGCCCTCTTGTCCCGACAGAGTGAAGACCCTTCCACGTGGACAGCTGACCATGTGCCTGCCCTGAGCAGCAGGGCCCACCAGGCATCTCAGTTGTGGGCAGCCGGCCCGGCGCTCGTCCGTGGACCACCCCGCCCCCCGCAGTTGGCAGCCCCCCGCCCCCAGCAGTGGGCTCTGGGCCTCGGCCCCACCATGTCGAGCCTTGGCAGTAGCCCCCAGGACAGTGGTGGCAGCAGCAGCAGCAACACCGGTGGCGGCAGCGGCCCCAAGGCAGGAGGGGCCGACAAGAACGCAGCGGTGGCCGCAGCCGCACCAGCCTCAGTGGCCGCAGAGGACGCGCCGCCCCCCGAGCGTCGGAACAAGAGCGGCATCATCAGCGAACCCCTCAACAAGAGCCTGCGCCGCTCCCGCCCTCTCTCCCACTACTCCTCCTTTGGGGGCAGTGGTGGCAGCGGCGGCAGCATGATGGGCAGCGAGGCCGCCGAGAAGGCTGCCGCCGCTGCTGCAGCCGCCTCCCTGTTGGCCAATGGGCACGACCTGGCGGCGGCCATGGCCGTGGACAAAAGCAACCCTACCTCAAAGCACAAAAGTGGTGCTGTGGCCAGCCTGCTGAGCAAGGCAGAACGGGCCACGGAGCTGGCAGCCGAGGGACAGCTGACGCTGCAGCAGTTCGCGCAGTCCACGGAGATGCTGAAGCGCGTGGTGCAGGAGCACCTTCCGCTGATGAGCGAGGCGGGTGCGGGCCTGCCCGACATGGAGGCTGTGGCAGGCGCCGAGGCCCTCAATGGCCAGTCCGACTTCCCCTACCTGGGCGCCTTCCCCATCAACCCGGGCCTCTTCATCATGACCCCGGCCGGCGTGTTCCTGGCCGAGAGCGCGCTGCACATGGCCGGCCTGGCCGAGTACCCCATGCAGGGAGAGCTGGCCTCCGCCATCAGCTCGGGCAAGAAGAAGCGGAAACGCTGCGGCATGTGCGCGCCCTGCCGGCGACGCATCAACTGCGAGCAGTGCAGCAGTTGTAGGAACCGAAAGACTGGCCATCAGATTTGCAAATTCAGAAAATGTGAGGAACTCAAAAAGAAGCCTTCCGCTGCTCTGGAGGTAACGACGCCTTAGAGGGAGGTGTGTGGGCTCCTGTGTCTGGCCGACAGTCTGAACCCAGCCCCGCCCCACCCCCGGCCCTACTTTTCCTGCCTGGGCCAGTGTCTGGGGGCCACTCAGCCAGTTGACCCCTGGGCCCAGGGGTTCTGGAGCAGGCTCCCAGACACCAGTTCACCACCCAGAAAGAGCCACATCTTGAGATCTCAGTAGGTCATAGTTCACAAGGCAGGCAGCAGGTTCCAGGTGGGGACAAGGCAGGCAGCAGGTTCCAGGTGGGGGCCTGGCCTTTGCAGCCAGGCCCGGGGATTCTGAACCCCTTCCTGGAGTTTTGGGCCAGCCATTGAGGTTTCCTTATAGGTCCAAGTTTCTGACTTTCAGATGTGTCCTAAAGCTTTCAGTCTGTGCCCTGAGATTCTGGGGCTCTCCCTTGTCCCACGTGAAGGGTTCTGTCCTGTGGACCATGTGGCTTTTAAGGGTAAGCCCTTCACTCACCCCTTCAGAGCCCAGCCTTTCCCCTAAGGCCACCCTGGTGCTCATTGGCCTGAGGCCTGGAAGAACCCTGTGTCTAGGTATGTCATTGACAGAAATCGGGTCTTTGGGGGGCCTCAAGGTCAGTCTGGCTGCGTAGGTAAAACGGCCAGGGGTCCTGTGGGCCTAGGGTGAGGGGGTGGCTGTGATCCTGGGGTATAGGCCAGGCCTGTCCACTTTGGCATGATTGGCTTTGTGGGGAAATCACCACATAGCCACACGGTCAAGGCCAAGGCAGCCCAAACAGGAAGGGGCTTAGAACCGGCAGAAGGGTTCCCATGCTGCTTTCTCTCCACCCTCATGGCAGAGCTTGTCCCTGTGCCCCCAGCCGTGGCAGTCTAGTGGTGGTGCCAGGCCTGGGTACAAAAGCATCTTTTCAGCCTGCTGTCCCAGCCCCGGCCCCGCCCCTCTATGAGTGGGCCGGACACAAATGTTCAGAATGGTTGGAAAATAATAATGACATCCCAGCTGTGGCTGCTACCCACCCGCAGGCCCCAGACCTCATATATCTGCTCTTCTGCCCAGAGAACACACCTATATGCACACAAAGGCACCCGCTGACATCTCATGTGGACACACACACACAGACACCCCCCTCCCCGCCCAGTCCAGTCTTAGCTATAGATGTAGCCTCTTACTTAACACAGCCAATATCCTTCCTCCCCACCCCGGCTGCACACACTACTACCCACCGTAGCACAGCTCAAGGCGCACGTCCATACAGGCCTCCAGTGCGCACGCTCCCTGCTAAATCAGCAGAACCACGTACACAGCCCCCTGATGCACCACAGCCACCTGGCGCTCGTGGCCTTTGGACCAAGGGATTGGGTTTTCCTGTTTGGAAGCAGGGTTCCTGGACACAGTGGCTCAGGGGGCCTCAGGGTGCTCCGGGCCCTCCAGCGGCCCCACGGGCCAAGCCTTCTTCTCTGGCCCGGGCAGGATGGCAGGACCTCCATGGGGTGGCTGCCTTTTACTCCAGGCCCATCCCTCCGCCATGAGGCCATCCACGGGGGAGCGTCTTTGCACCAGGTCCCGCCGGACCCTGACTGAACTCTCTCCTTGTTTTTGTCTCCCGCCCCCGCCAGAAGGTGATGCTTCCGACGGGAGCTGCCTTCCGGTGGTTTCAGTGACGGCGGTGGGAACCCAAAGCTGCCCTCTCCGTGCAATGTCACTGCTCGTGTGGTCTCCGGCAAGGGATTCGGGCGAAGACAAACGGATGCACCCGTCTTTAGAACCAAAAATATTCTCTCACAGATTTCATTCCTGTTTTTATATATATATTTTTTGTTGTCGTTTTAACATCTCCACGTCCCTAGTATAAAAAGAAAAAGGAAAAAAAAGTTTTAACTGCTTTTTCGGAAGAACAACAACAACAACAACAAAAAAGAGGTAGAGATGAATCTATAAAGTACCGAGACTTCCTGGGCAAAGAATGGACAATCAGTTTCCTTCCTGTGTCGATGTCGATGTTGTCTGTGCAGGAGATGCGGTTTTTGTGTAGAGAATGTAAATTTTCTGTAACCTTTTGAAATCTAGTTACTAATAAGCACTACTGTAATTTAGCACAGTTTAACTCCACCCTCATTTAAACTTCCTTTGATTCTTTCCGACCATGAAATAGTGCATAGTTTGCCTGGAGAATCCACTCACGTTTATAAAGAGAATGTCGATGGCGCCGTACCGAAGTCCCTCTGTATCCATCCACGCGTGCAGAGCTGCAGCCAGGAGCTCGGGGGGGGGGGTGCGGGGGTGGAGGTGCGGGGTGGGGGGCAGCCCACCCACTCCCAGGCCGCCTACGCTGTACTCCCGGTCCCCAGAAGGGATCCCCACCCCGACGATGATTTTGCGAAAATGAAAGTTCTGTTCCTTTCTCTGTTGAGATCTGGGGAGCCCATGTCTCGATATTTCTGATCCTGGCTACTGCCCTTAGAGAAAATAAGTCCTTTTTTTCTGGCCTTGCTGATGGCCACAGAAGAAAGGGCTTCTTCGCGTGGCCCCCTGCCGGTGGGTGTGGGTGCCCCGGGGGGGCCCCCTGCTGCGTGGGCCCCCTTGCCCACGGCCAGCTTCCTGCTGATGAACATGCTGTTTGTATTGTTTTAGGAAACCAGGCTGTTTTGTGAATAAAACGAATGCATGTTTGTGTCACGAAGCACCACCGCTGGCTTCTTGCTCTCCGGTTTGGGGGTCTGGCTTGGGGGTTGTTGCTGGGCAGGGGTGATGTGGAGCCACCTGGGAAAGGAAGAAGGATGGCCCTGGGACATGGAGAGTCTGGGATCTCTTGGGGAGTTCGGGCCTGGCAGATCCTGAAAGGGGGTCAAGCAGGAACAGCCAGCCCAGCTGGCATGGTAGAAGTCTGTTAATCTGGAAATGGCTGGTTCTGGAACATTCTCGCCTGCCTAATTATACCCCCTACCTCAGAACCCGGACCTCCGGGGACCTTCACTTACCTGGGGCCACCTCCTCTATTTATCTAAGTCAGCAGGGCCTGGCCAGTACGGAGCAGCCAGCAGGACCAGAGCTGCCTGTTCGATCGCTTGCTTGCTTTCTTGCAGGGATCTGTTGCTCCCCCAACCACTGAGGTGATCCCCAGGGAACAATTTTAACCTAGATTTGTGGGGACCTGACTGTGCCCAGAATGCACACAGAAACACCCCTACCCTGCCATACCCTTCTTTGAGCCTGAGGGCAGCTGGACTGAAGCTGGGGCAGTGTTGGGGGGGTATCCTTGGCTCCAGTTCTTGAGCGACTTTCCCCACCCCCAGAAAGTTTGTTGGCGCAAGGTTGTCTGCGACCTCAGGGGCCAGATGTTTGGGGAAATCACCACAGAGCCACATGGTCTAGGTCAAGGCAGCCTGAACAGGAAGGGGTGACAGCTGCATGGCCCCCACCCCTGCACATCACAGAGGCCGGTCTGCAGGCTGAGACCCATCATCTACTTGACGGGCAGATATTCTTCCCACCCAGCTGCCCCGGAGCCTGGCTGAGATGGAAGCTAGACGGGAAGGACTTCCTGACAATGGCAGGGGCCTTCCTTCAGGTGGGTGAGGGCTTTTTGGGGTGAGGGAAGGGGCAACTTGTGAAGGGGAGTGGGCAGTGGTCTGGGGAAGATGGTCTGCCTCTGCTGCTGTTCCCTGGAGGAGAAAAAGCAGCCCATATGGGGTGGGGGCTCCAACCCCCACCCCCTTCCCAGTGTCATAAGCTCCCTTGGAGCACCAGGAGCCCGGCAGCCTGGCCTGGCACAGCGGGGGCAGGCGGGGGTGGTGGGAGGCAGCTTTCAACTCCCGCTCTGCCTGGGAAAAATTCCCTTTCATGTGGCTGCCTGTGATCTCTCCAGGCGGTTCTGCCGAAGGGGGGCGTCCAGGGAGTGGGGGGAGGACTTGCTGCCAGGGGCACCCTCATCCTCCACCCCCCACCCCCGCACAAGGCAAACTGCAGCACCTCTAGGTCCTGCAATGGGCAGGGAGGGTCTTCCTGGGGGGCGGCTGGGTGGGAAGCCTGGCCAGCAGGGGGCACCCAGGCAGGAGGCCCCTGCCTGCCCCCGCCCTGCTGCTGGCAGCACACAGGCCGCAGATGGCCTCGGCCAGCCCTCATTGGCATGCCTACAGGTGTGGGGTGGACGGCTCCAGTGCCAGCCCGGAGGGGGTTGCTGTGACTCAGCCAGCCTGGACCTTTTTAGTGTGCCAGCCCACAGCCCGGCCATGGCTCCTGGGCCTACCCCTCAGCACACAAGTCTGAAGGTGGAAGCCCCTCACCCCTTGTAATTTGGCCTCTGCTTGTGGAAATGGGAGGCCATCCCCTCTGTGTGGAGGAGGGCCTGGCTGGGGTGGGGATGGCTGTGGGCTGAACACATGATGAGACCTTAGTCCCCTCATCTGAGAAACGGGGACAGTAATGGTCTCTCTTCCATAAAGTTGCCTGAGGATGAAATGAGATCACTCTAGGGAAGGGCCCGGCTCATCATAAGCAGTCAGTTAAATGGCAGCTGGTGTTGCTAATTTTAAAGCTATTCACCTGAATCTCACCAAGGTGCCCCCCACCCGCTACCCAGGGTACGGGTCCTCTCTAAAGCCCTGACGCCTCACCTTCCACTCCCTGGGCTAGTGGCCGCCCCATTCCCCAGCGGGCTCCAGCCCTGGCCAGACCTGCTCCAGCACGTCTGTTTCTAACCACTTCTGGCTCACTGTCCCTGAATCTCTCTACTGATGGTCTCTGTTGTCTCTGACGTTCTTCTGTGTCTCTGTCTTGTCATCCTCCCACGTCTCTGAGTCCCTGTACGTCTCTCCTGTCTCCTTGAGTCTCTCCCCGTATCTAGTACCTCTCGTGTCTTCTGTTGCCAGCTCACCCCTGCTGCTCTTCTGCTGACGGAGAAGTGCTTAGAGGCAGGCTCCCTGTGGAGCTGTATGCCCAATTCCCCTCCCTAGGGGTGCCCTCCGCTCCCCTCTGCTGCCCTGCTGCTGGGAGCCTGACCTCCTGGTGACCTGAGAGCCTTCAGCCTGTTCTCTCCTTTGCCCCACCCGGATGGCAGGGGTACTTGCGGGTACACACGGGGCTGGAGACAAACCCAGCATCTATCCAGCCGTGTGTGTGTGAGAGAGAGAGAGAGAGATTTCGAGACAACCGTGTGAGGCCTTGTGCAGCAGTGTGGCTGTGTGTGACACGAAAACAGGCCTATGACTGTGTGGCAGGCTCTGGGAGACCTCACATGGCTATGGGTTAGGGTGTGATATCAGTAGTGCCACACAATGGGATACTCTGTGACGCAGCATATTTAATCCTATGATACTGTGTAGTCTTATAACAGAGCCAGTGTGGTGTGTGTGACATTGAATCTGTGACACTGATGTTGTGCGGCATGCACGAGCCTGTGACAGACACTGGCAGAGTCTCTGTGGTTTGTGACATTGTGTCTGTGTAACCCTCATGGGTGTGGCCCTGAGACTGACACCAGGGATTCCATGGGAGGGTGTGATACTGGCTGTTGACCAAGCTGGGACCCTGTGACACCACTTGCATAACTCTGGGTGTGTGCTCATGACATGGCGTGTCACTGTGCACCTGTGATCCTCGGGGGGGCTGATACTGTGTGCCATGTGGGGCTTGGTGTCCCCCAAGCGTTGCTTGGGTCTCTCCCCCAACAGCATGCAACTCTGAGGACTGTGGTGTCCCTAGCAGCCCCTCTTAGCTGCAGCCGGGCCCTGAGGCCCAGTCCGGGTGGGGGAGCTGGCTTGGGGGCAGCAGGCGCGGTTCCCACGACTGCCACGGCCCCTCTCCCGGCCCTACCACCAGCTCCAGCTCCACAGAATATCCTGGCAACCCCAGCCTCTTTGTTCTCTGTGGCCGCCAAAGGCCTCTCCCCACCCCAGCCTGCCCAGCGCCTGCCAGGCGCCCCCTCCCCTCCAAAACAGTGGGGCTTGGCCTGACCTAGTCTCTTGGTGCCCTTACACCCCCACAGGCGCTGGGGCCCCCGTCTCAGGCCCTGACCTGACCAGCATCCAGCTGGGCCTTGGACCCTTTGCTGGGAGCTCGCTGCTGTCCTGCTGTTCAGGAGGGAGGCGGCGGCCTGGCCCTGCAGTGGACTAGGTTCGGGCCTGGAGCTGTGTTCTCTGCACGGATACTTCCCTCTGGTCCAAGGCTAGTTGGAAACTGTCTTTAGTCTGGAATGGTTTCAGGTTGTCGAGTAAGTTCACTTATTTGGCTTCAGAAAAATCAGGTTAGGAATTATTACTACCTATTTTATAGATGTCCAACTGAAGCCCAGAGAGAGTATGTGACATGCCCAAGTCACAGAGCAAGATGGTAGCATGGGTCTGATTAGCACTTGCGCTTCTGGCCTTCACTCCTTGCACCAGGCTGCTTTGGGAGGACCATGTGTTTTCATGGAAGGGAAAGGGGACCTGGGAGTCTGAACACACGGGTCCTCTTCCCTTGGTCACCATGTGTCAGTGTGTACGTGCGTGCATGCACGTATCTGTGTGCACTCTTGATGGGTGACCTTGGCCAACCACCCTTGCCTGTTTCTAGGAAAGAAGGGCAACGTGACCAGGGATATGGGGGTGGGGCGGAGCATTTGGCAGGGTGCTTTCCAGAGCAACAAGTCCACATCACAGTGCTGAGACCCACAGCATCTCCCAACAGCGACGTGGGGCTGTTGGCTCAGGGGCAGATTCCGCCTCGGGGCCTTAGCCTTGATTCCCAGGCTCGACTTAGCTCTCCACAGTCAAAAAGGAGGTGGTCATGGCCACTTGGCATGGCTGCCGTCAAGGCTGCTTAGGCCTGACCTGATTGCAGCAGCAGCTCCCACTCCCTCCCAGGTGCCAGAGTGGATGGATGGAGGTCATTGTGTAGCCCGCCCGGGGCCCCTCCACTGCCCACCCGGAGCTCTATGCTGACAGGCAATGCTGACAACAGCCAACATGAGGGAAGGACAGGCAGCCACCAGCATGTTAATAACATAGACCTTGGCCCAGGCACTCTGCAGGCAAGTAGTGGGCACAGAGAGGCCCAGCTGTCCCCCAAGGTCACACAGCCCTGCAGGTCATCCTTTCCCCAGAGGTCCACATCTTCCCTGAGGATTGGAGAATGGCTGGGGGGGTGGCGGGGCTACAGGAGGGTCCCCCTGAGGCCCTGACCCGGCTGCCAGAGCGGACACTTTCATCTCTCTTCGCCTGTCGACCTGCCAT